CCAAAAAAAGATGTAAAGAGAATGTAATATGCAGGGACACAGTCTTATTGATCTTTGGTTATATCCGGATGATATTCAAAATATTTATCAAGAGATAAGGCATAAGCACTCTCCTATCAAAACAAATACCAACTGTAAGTAATTTTAAGAGTATACTAGCTTAATATCATTACATCTGCCATTACCCTGGAGCTTTATAAATGCCTCCCATAAGCTTATAATGTTCACACATATAATTTCATCAATACCTCCCTTATCAGCAACAGATCTGCCTATGAAATATATCCATATTTAAATAAATATTTGATACATACACACACATACTACCTTCTAAGCTCTGAGACAGCTGTCAGATTCCAGCCATACTAGAACTGTCTTGGCTTCTCAAATACCTTTTTCCACCTTGGCATCCCACATCTTTTATTTTTCATTTTAATTAAAAAAAAAATTTTTTTTTTTTCATATGTGTGTGTGTGTGTGTGTGTGTGTGTGTGTGTGTACGTATAAAGCAGAATATTCAAGAAGGGCTTAAATATAAGTAAAAATACTTGCCCTATTCTGGCACTATCTCCAATCCTCCTCCCAAGAGTCAATCACTTTTAACAATTTCAGCTATTTCTTTTTTATTTGCCTCTACTAGATGTAGTAATCTCTAAATAATGTTTATACTGTATTTCTTGACTTATCAATTACATAAACTGTACTGATTTCATGCATGTAATAGCATTTCTTGGTTTTAAGTTTTAGATGTTATGTTGACTTCTACTATGAATTATAAGGATTTTTAGCTCTCTTTACTTCTCACTGTCCACCTACCATCACCACACATGTATACATTTTTCATCCTCTCTCTTCAAAAGAGTAATGATGATTCAACTGCACCAATCTAGAGCTCTCTATGCCGGGGTACCACAGTTGTCAGAGGGTCATCCTTTGCCATTATCCTGATGCTTCCTTTCAACTTTCTCTTGTAGATTCTTGTTTTCCTCTTGGTTTACTCCCTTGTTTTGAAGGGAGTAAATAGGATAAAGGAATACCTTAGAGCTTCTAAGTAACAGCATGTGGGAAATAATTTTTTAAGAACTTGATTATTAGTCAGATGGATAAAGGATAAAGAATTCAAGCTGGAATTCAGTTTTATTCAAATAAGGTATAGCTCCTCTTTTCTAGCTCCAAAACCATTTTGATCTGTGCAGGTGACCTTTTTGTTTAAATTCTGGACGCTTGATCCCAGTATTCTGAATTTTACAATAATATGCCTTAGATTAGATATATTTTCTCCATTGTGCTGGAAACTCTGGGTTCTTTCAGTCTGTAAATTTACATGCCTTAATTGTGGGATATTTTCTTGAATTATCTCTATTGTACTTTCTTTTCCTCCACTTTCTCTATTCTATCTGTGCTCTTATGAGTCTCACATTGGATTTTCCAAACTGGACCTCTACAGGTTCTTTCCTAGTTTTCACTTTGCCTATCTGCTCTTTGTAAGCTTTTCAATTTTATCTTCCAGACTTTTTAGTAAGTAACATTGGATATTTTAAATTCTAAGAGCTCTTGTGTGTGTGTGTATATATGCAGATATTTTTCTCTGTTGCTTATTTTTAAAGCATCCTATTGTCTCTTGGATATCTTGAATGCAATAGCTTCTGTTATCCCCTGCTGATATTAATGACAGTCCTTTCCTCTTGAGTTACTTAATGCTGTTTTAGCACCTGATCTCATGTTAAGAGGATTTTTCTCATATTTTTCATTATAATGCTTGGTAGCCCATTTAAGAGTAGGGAATTAAAAGGCTGCCTGAAGCACATGCACAGGGCCTAGTGACCCAGGTTTCAATGTAGAGAGATCAAACCAAGGACTCCTTAAGGATCAGCATCTTCGTCTTTCCTCTAGGGCTCGGCAGATTTCTCAGATAAAATTCTTCCAATTTCCTACCTGGGGCATATAGGCCTGGCTCTCATCCTTCTGGGAAACTAGTAAAGAATATATATATTATATCTGCACACTGCTATTCCTGCTATTTTGCATACTGAACCCCTGAGCTCAACAGTACTTAGTATCCCTCAATCATGAGACCCTTAGGTTTTACTCTTCCCAGAAAACAAACTGACTATATGGGCATTCACTTAGGGAAAAGGGTTCTAGAATTTTAACAGCTTTGTAAATGGCTTCTAACTAATTCTACTTATTTTAGTATTCTCCCTTTGCCTCCATTAATGTACCAGGTACTACTAATTCCTGAGACTTTTATGGCTCCTAGAGTACAAACTGGATTAGCTCTTAATTTCCCATTGCTAGCACAGAATAAAACTGTTAACTCAGTCACACATTTACTCTCTAGCATCTGAAACAGTCCTTCAATCAATGTGGATTTATACTTAAAACAGACAAACCTCAGTCCCTTTATACTAGTGGAATGTGGGTAGGGAATCACATTAGATGTTTGTTCATCTGCTATCTTTTTGGAATCCATTTTTTGTTTTTAACCTCCTTAAATAATCCAAGTCCACAAGAAACAACTGCTATAATATTTTGGTATCTCTTAGAAGACTGTTTAAACTTGCATAATGGGCCAAAATGCTTATACTTCCTATCACTTGAAAATTGTGAGAAACAGGCAAAATGACATATGCCCATTCAATAAGAATGTACTATAACAATCTAAGGTTGACTGCTCTCTCCTTGTAGGACAATACTATTTCACTATTAGTAAGGGGAGTTGTTTTTCCATCAAAGATGATGCACTAGATAATGATCTCTCCTTGTCCTCCTTGACCCTCATTTACAAGTCAGCTTTTGGGTTAGTGATACAGTGCACAGATTTATGCTTCTTCATGACAGGCAACTGTCAATTCACTAAATGAAATGTAGTAAACTAGTAACATCAGCTTCCTTATGTTCTAACCAATGAAGACTTTAAGTGTTTTGGTATGTTATTCATGTGTGTACAAAACTGTTCTGTTCATGTGTGTATGAATTTTTAATATAAATATTTTATGTCTCCTTCCAGGCATCTGGATTATGAGAACAGTAAGTTAGCAAGCCACACCATTCTGAAGAGAAAGAAAATTAACATTAATGAGAAAAGGGAATATTAGACACTATTTGAGAAAATGAGGCATCTAGCTCCTAATGAAAAACAACTTCTAATTTAACACAGCATTATCAACTTCAAAGTGTCTGGTAAATATTAAGGTTTCTTTTCACACATTCAAAGGCTTAAAGCACCATACAGGTAGTTTGCAGGCCCCTTACAGTTCTAAAATGCTCTCATTCTTTCATCAACTGGGATTTAGGATTCTAGTCCTAGCTTTTTTCCAAACTGGCTATGAAACCTCAGGCATGATATTCAGGCCTGCTTGGATGCTTCACCTATAGAAAAGTAATTCCTATCATTGTTTCACCATTAAATATCCTATTGCTGGCACAGGAGCAAAAGTAAATAAATCAGAAGTCATTTTTTTAGACAATTTGAATATATCTTAAACACTAATGTCAACATTTTTTGGTCAGAATGCCAGAATTAATTTAGTCTGAACTAAATTTAGTCTGAACACCCACCAAATGCATGGAAACCCTACCTCTAGAAGTATTAATTTCATCAAGAAATGCAGTAATCATCTCAAATTGTCAAGTAATGTAAGACTCTCATCTAACCCAGTATTTTTCTTTTATCTTTATATTTAAAATTTTAATGAAAAACTTTTCGGATGAGGTATAAGGTATGGAATATTGCTTTCTATTTTTTATATCTCAGGTGATCAAGATCTTATCTGTAAGATAAACTAATTTTTGTAAAATAATTATTTCATATGGATCAGTCATAAAGTGAGCGTTATTGTACTGCAGGAATTGGATTTTTCTACTTCTTTAGAGGCTTTAAGATAGAAAGGAGTGAAGGAGGTTTCACATCCTACTCAGAATTACCATAATATATTTATGAAATAGGATTTATGTACAATCTGCATGCCTTGATCTACTCTGCCTTGGTTCAAATCCTAGCTCTTGTCCTAAATCTTGCTCTGCAGACTCTAGGCAAGCCATTTAATCAGGGGTCAGCTGCCTTACATCAAATAGGTTGTGAGGATAAAATGAAATCAACAGACACACTCTAAAAAGAAAAAAGGAAGTTAATATACAAATACTGCTGCTGTTGCTTATTTGCTTAATTATTTAAGTGCCTGCATGAGATTGGGAGGGTTGGGGCCCTATTCTACTTCATTTTATTCCATTAGTTTCTCTCTAATCCTCATCCTGTCTTTCACAGAGCCAGAGGCCCAACACTACCTATACATTAGTCCACGCACTTCACCATCACTGTAAATAACCTTCTTATTAATCTTTGTCAGGCCTTGCTTTCAACCAGACCAAATTATCTGTGCTACTGTACGCCTCTGACATACACTTTATATGTTCACTGACAAGCTTTTTGATGAGGCAACATCAAGAACACAAACCTATCTGGAAGATGAGGATGCACAAGCCGACTGGAATCACTGCTTTCTAATGGCTTTCTAAGCCTACAGGTGGTACCTGCTCATACTCGGCGGTGACCGCTGACAGTGGATGAAGTCAGCAATTCTCAAAAGCATAGAACATGACATGCACTCTCCGTTAGGCATTTTTCCTTAAAAGTCTCCTTGCTAGAAAAGCGCCTGGAAGTATCACACAGGTGTTCAGGGGAAAAAGGCCAGGAAATGCCTACTCACAAGCCTCTGTAAGTGTTACTACTGTACCTTACACAGGAAACGGACTAGGGAGTTGGGGCCGGCTTTCATTCCAGTACTCAGCATTGTTACAAGGTAGTGAAGTCTGCGATGGCCTTGGCTCCAGTTTAGCGGGATTTTACTCAGGGAAAGGAGAAACCTAAGTGGTGTTTCTGCAATGTGACAAAACACGCTTTCTTACAGAAACGAACGTCTGCAACATGCATTCCTCGGACAGTTTCTCCCCAGTCCCCTCCCTTAATGAGAGCGCGCGCGCCCAGGAAGGCCCATTACCATCCTGCAGGATGAGGGAGGGCTGCACCGCCTGCACTCGGAACTGCCTGGCCCTCCAGCCAGGGCTGGGCGCCCGAACCACCTCACTGTCGGACAGCCAGGTCACGGTCTCAAAGTTGTCCCCGCGAGCCAATGCCTCGGCCTCGGCGTGGTGCACGGCCACCCGGTCGAACTGGTAGAGGCCTCCGGAGTGGTCAAAGTGCACGTGTGTGGCCACGGCCAGCAGCGGCCTGCACGCAGCGTCCTCCTTGACGCCGCGGTCCTGCAAGAGGCCGGAGGAGTACAGGTACTCCGGGAGGCTTCGCAGCCCCAGGCCCGTGTCAATCACCACATCCTGTTCCGAGCCACGTACCAGCCAGATGTTGGCTCGGTTGCCCGACTCATAGAAGCGTTCCTGAATCCAGAAGATGCCGTCGCCCAGGGACTTGTGAGCGTACCACTCGAGCGCCGACATGCTTGGCAGGGCTGCGGCCGGGCGGAGTGGGTGTGGGCTTGTGTGCCAACTGCAGGCTGTCCAGAAGCGAGGCGCTGCGGCGGTGTGGAGCTGTCGGCCCGCAGCCAAGGAGGAGGCGTAGAGCGAGGAGGGGCGGGGCACGCGGGAGGTGAACTGGGGAGACGGGGACGCACGGAGACGCTGCCCGGAGTGTGTGCCCTCACGCGCTCTCCAGGTCCGCAGAGAGCGGCGGCTCTGTCCGCACCGGGGCGCTGGGGCAGTGCAGCCTCTGTAGCAGCAGGATAGGGAGCGTCAACGCAGGGGCTACTGCAGCAAACTGCGGACACACTGGGGAAGGCGACACTTTTCCCACCCCCGGGGTCTGACTGCAGAGGCAAGCATCTAGGCGCCAGAGGCACAAGCCCGCCCCCTCGCTGCACGCTGCGATGCGCTCTCTCCAGCTTGGACGACTACGGCGTCTGCCAAGGGCTAAAAGGCTCTCTCTCCGGTGGGCGCGGCTTAGCGGGTGGGCGGGACCTAGTGCGGTTGGGCGGGGCTATCTGGTAGTGCTCGGAACCGAGCTCAGAAGCCGCGTGGAGGGCGGAGCACTCTTCTCCTGAGCTGCAGCCGGCGTTCTAGCGCCTGCACCTTCTGTTTGCACCCTTTCCATGCTGTCCGGCGCTTCGGCTGCACAGTTTTACCCCAGCCTCGAGACTTAGTGAGCAGGTAACAGAGGAAGCAGTTGAGGGCTTGGGAGGAGATGGAGAGGGTAGAGGGGAGTTAAAGGGGCACATGGAGACGGTGGGGCAAATCAGGGGGGAGATTGATTAAGGCGCTTCTGGATTGAGGGGCTGGACTGAGCTTTACTTCCCCATCTCATAATCCCTTCACAATCTTTTAATCGTCGTCTCCAGATTTTACATAGTCTGCATTTCCTGGGACTGTTTGCAATGAGAAGGTAATTTATACTCCTATTGATGGTAGATATTCAAATCCGAGGGCTGTGTGATTGGTTCAGGCACGAGTCATTGCCGCAGACTTGTTAAGGACAGGCTATTCAGTATTTTTTCTTAACTGTTGGCCTTCTACTCTATACCGTGGAGAGAGGAGTTGCTAACAAAGCTTTAATCTATATTTCTTTCCCTACACCCCCCTCCCTTTTTTTTTGGTTAGTTTGTCCACTCGTGGAAGAGCAAGGAAAGTTGGTAGAAAACGCTCAAAAAGAAAGGTGGAGGCTGCCGCACCTTGTGAGGACAGAAAAGTGGATAATGACTGGGTGTGGCCTCGCCAAACTCATCGCCCCCACTGCTAATGCCAGGTCCCTGATCTCACCCTACATCTCCCAGCTATTGAAATATCAATTTAGTCTTGAAAAATTCCTTTGAGAACTTGACTAACCTCCCTACGCAGCCAGGAAAAATTATAGAGACCCATGAGACAGCATTATAAAAGGTAATTATGAAAACCCTTATTTGTGGCAGCTACTAATAAGCCTTCATAGAAGGAGGGGTGTACCATCTTCCCCTATAATCCTGNGGGGGGGGGGTGATGCAGCCTTTCTCAGTATTTTCCCAATGTAGTTAGAATTTATTCAGTCACTCTGTTCACGGCTATCTTCATTAGCTAGATGGTATGTGAAGAACAGAATTGTGTAACATAAAAGTCATGATCTGGGTTCTCCAGAATTTGGGGGAAGATAATATCTGTACACACATATTTGCCATATAAAGCACCAACTGGGATATTTATCGCAAAGGAAGTAAAAACTAAGTGTTACAAGAATACAGATGGAAGGAATTAAGGAGATTAAGGAGTGGCATTTGAGCTAGCCTTAGAAGACCACTGTTGGTAAGGATATTCTCAGTAGGAGGTACAGAGCTCTCTGTAGTTTGGGTATTTGTCCTCTAGGCAGAGGGGAGCCGCTGGAGGGAAATTGGATTGATGTTCTTACCAGGCCGTATGATCTCCGCAATAATTCACCCAATGTTTATTATACTTATGCTCTGGTTGGTGATAGGGCACGGGAAGGTAAATAGTATTCAAGGAGGCTTTCACATTTACAGACCCCTCTGTCCGCATCCCAGTTTTCCTTGGATTTCCTTTCCTAGTTCTCAGCATGGCTCTTGCCTTCGCTTCTGTCAAGTTTGTGCTTGGATATTACAAAATGTGGCGGGCTTTCTTCAACCACCCTTCCCACAACAGCACCCCTGTTTTCTGCTTTTTCTTCATATCACTGATCACTAACTGACAGTTTCTATAAAAGTGTGTATTTTTCAATTTTGCATACTAGACTATGAGCTCCATGAGAACAGAGACTTTATTTTCTTCACTCCTATATTCCCAATACACAGAAGATGGTTTGACACAGGGTGCTTAATAAACACTTGATGAATAGATAATTGAAGAGTTTACTGGGGAGACAGGCAAGAACTGACGATTACAACATGGATTTTAAAAGGGTAATAAAAGCAGTGAAGTGCTTGAGAAACAGAAAAGGGAGAGTCCTACTCCATGTAGGATAGAGGAAATGGTCACAGAGATGTGTCATCTGCATAGCATTTTAAATGATGCTGAGGCTACTGGGTGGATATGGAAGGCAAATGCAAGAGCCGTGTAGCAGAATTGGGAGTGGCTGGAGTGGGGGATGCATGAGGCAAGGGGCAGAAAGACTCAAAAGCTTTGTTAGTTAAGGTAAGTGACACATCAAGATTTGTGTTCCACAAAGATGACTATAGAGTGGATTGAAAAGGGAAGTCTGGCTGTGGGAAGTTTATTCTGTATTAGAGGTCTAGGCAAGAGATGGTGAAAGCCTGGACTAAAGCAGAGGTGAAGGTGGGTGAACATGTGAAGGAGGACACAGAGCTGACAGTCTTCTACTATTAGATGAGGGGATGGAGGGAGATGCAGAGGAGGTTAGCGTGACTTCTGGGTTCTGATTGGGGCAACTTAGGTGTCATTCATCAGGAAAGATACTGTGCCGTGGCTTTCAGTAGCTCTCTGAGCTTCTGTGCCTGCTTACATCTGTTTGTACATTTATTCTGCTAGCCAATTTGTGCAAGGGACAGCGTGAGATGTGGAGGACAATGCATTTAAGCCACAATCATAACTCATAAAATGTTCGAGTTAGGAGGAATTTCAGAAACTAGCTCAGTCTCTGCCACACGGTTGTTTTTATAGTTGGTTAGTATGGGCTTTTGCATGTCAGCTCTTGGATGCTTGAGCCATCAAATCATCTCAGAACAATTCTGAATAAGAATTTTCAGAAGACATCCCAAAATGGAGGGGTGATACTTCTGATTTTACATGTTTAAATTCAGTCGAATTTTGCTATTACTAATTCACTTCATTGTAAATATTAAAGGCATCCATAGAATTAAAAAGGTCTTCAACTGGTCTAGAAGTGTGTTTCAGGCTGTGAAATATAGATGAAAGGACAATAGAAGGGTATCTGAGGCTTTAACCCAGTCTTGTCTTTGTTAAGAATTGTGTATCTGGGCAGTCATTAACCATTTAGAGCCTCACTTTCCTCTTCCATAAAATCGAAGTTTAATCTGGAACAGCATTTCTTAATTTAGTCTACACATTGGAATCTCCAGGGTGCTTTTAAAAAGTCCTAATACCTAAATCTTACCTCCAAAGATTCTGATTTCATTGGGGTGAGGCCTAAGTTGTTTTTAACACTCCTGATGATTCCAACCTACATCCAACACCCAAACTTTATAGTTCTAGAAATTAAAACAAAAAACAAAACTTTGCAGGCTGATTAAATTGTACTTCTGGGAGTAGATTTACTCATGAAATCACGTTAAAGAAGAAAGAAAGAAAAAACGGAAGGAAGGAAGGAAGAAGGAAGGAAGTTTAACATTAAATGTGGAGCTGTTGCTATATAGAGAGCACTATGCTAGACAGTGGGGCATATAAAATCGCTACTGTTAGTCTTATAGAAGAAATAAACAAAAAACATAAGTGAAACTCTTTCCCTTTAGAAAGAGTCCATTTCCCGTATGGTGCATTGGCTATATTGTTTCCACACTTGAAGGTGGAGCAACGTGCATCACCTCAATTTTTAAAAATCCATTTATTTTAACAGGGGTATCTTTTCAAGAGCAAGATGGGGTTAAATAACTGTTGTGGATGTTGAGGGACTTAAACTGGATCTTAAGGTGAAAAGGGATGCAGCCAGACAGGCAGGAAGAGGGAGTAGGCTGCAATGGAGAAATGGTAGTCATGACATGATTACAGAACAATGAGCCAGGGGATAGGTGCACACATCTTAAACGGGCTCTGAATATATGGGTAAGGAGTTGGATTTAATTCTGTAGCCAAAAGAGAAGATGAGTGGAGTGGTACGATCATTAGAACTATGCTTGAAGGTGAATAATGTGGGAGAATAAATTAAAATAGTAACAGGAAAACAAGGGATACCTTTAAATTTGCAGTCACTCAAAAGTGAGATGGAAAAGAGCTGAGCTGGATTATGGTAGAAGAAATGGAAATGAAGGAACATTTTGAAGGAAGAACTAGGTGATTGATTTGATAGGAGGGGTGGAATCAAATGAGGAATCAATTCTGACTCACTCCAAATCTTCAAATGTTAGTGACAGGGAAAATAACATACCGTGGATTAAAATAGGGACATTTATACATGAAAGGCAAGCTAATTAGTGTGGGGGGAAGATGATCTCAGTATTTTAAGTCTCAGGTGCTGTCCAACTATCCTCTTGGGAGTAAAAACATGGACTGAAACTCAGGACAAGGGTCAGTGCTGAAGTTAATGGTGAGGGAGAGCTCATCAAACCTTGAGAGTGGGTGTACTTTCTGAAGATTAAAAAAAGAACAGAAAACCAAAGATGGAACCTCAAGGAAGTGCATACTTAAGGGGTTTACGGAGAGAAATAGACCAAAAAAATGGGCAATGGAATAGAATCTAGAGTTTTAATAAAGCCTTGGGAAGAGAGCATTTCAAAAGGGAGGAGGCAATAATGAACAGTGTGCTTTGGAAACCCAAGAGCATAAGCAAGGACAAAGGCCAGTGGATCTTTGTCCACTGGGACCTCTGGGACCTTTACATTTCAGCATTGCACATGGTTCCCATCACAAGTAAAAAAGCCGAAACCCTTTACCACAGCTCACACAGGCTCCACGAGCTCTGCCTCCATCAGCCTCTCCCTACTCCTTGCTCCTCGCCAGCTACGTGAGCTTCCTGTTCCTCAGACGCTCCCGACTTGTGGTTTCCTCCTCTGCCCTGCTGTCCCTTTCTCTGCAGCCATCTCCACCCCAGCCCTCCATCTTCTGGCTCACTTGCCTTGTCCAGCACACTGCTCACATTTATCCTCTATGGAAAAACTTGCTTGTGTGAATGAGTCACTTCCATATCCCTTTCTTTTTCTCTATCCTCTTACCATGATTTTTTTTCTTCACAGCTGTATTGATTTTGAGGCTTGTAGCTGCAGCAT